CTAAGACAGAGCCTTGGGGGACGCCACTCAGAGCAGATGTAGGGGTTGACTTCGAGTCACCGATGCACACAGTTGGCGATCGCCCTGTGAGGAAATCAGTGATCAATGCATGTTCACCCATCGAGGACTCCTGTAGGGCTCTCTGCCTATAGTTGATATTAAATTCAGAAGCCTTTTTACCAATGCCAAATAGGGGCATTTCAGAAAGAGGAGATCCTGGTCAGCAAAATCTAAATAAACGCTTTAAGTGCAAAACCGCTGTCTATAGATTGAAGCACATGACCAAAGAAAGAGACCTGAAAGGCGTCACAAAATAGCTTTCACGAAGACAATTATGAGTCACGTGAAGCATGTGGTTCCGTGTTAAGTGAAGCACCATCTTGTCTTAGATCAAGGTGTCCAAGATCTTCATAAAGTCGTCAGATGACGTAGATCGGCTGTGTTTGCGGACATGCAGAATGTGTGATTCCTTCCACAAAATAGGAAACGCTTCGCTTTAGCAGCAAAATAAAAATCTTACACACAAATTACTGAAAGGTATCATTTGCATCAGCCTACAGAATGCGGACCGCGTGCCATTTAGTCCAGGACTATGAGATTGAAAATGCAGTCGAATGGCTATGGTCACAGAGTCGGCACGTCCAAGTTGCTACGTCCAAATTTTCGAGAATCTACAGATACTCTTGAATAAATTCCAAAGACCGTGTCCTCTACAGGCTAGAGATAAAACTCGTAATCTCAAAGAACTGAAATTCGATACCAGTTTCAAACGACGTGTTCCTTGTTAACCAACAACACCAAAGGTAGTCATGACATAAATTAGCACAACTCTAATTGGTTTGTGGCATGATTTTTGACACATTCAACAGAGTTCGTGAAATTTCATCTCTATAACTACAAGGAGTGACAACAATGGAAAATGTACATAACCCACACATCAATCCTATTTCCAAAATGATACAAGTTCATTTGCGTGATGCATGCTCCCTCCCTCCACTTCGGGCTCATTATCAAAGACTAAGTGCCGCTCTACCTTGGAGTACGCTCGAATGTCCTAGGAGAAAGCAAAATTAATATTCGAGACATAGGTTTCCACCGCGTACTCGTCGATCTAAAATACTACAGTTGCAAGAACCGCAATAAATCCCCAGAGTTTTAAATGCTTACCGTGGCTTCAGATCCATATGAAAAGTTCAGTAGGTTTGGGTTTAAAATCGTTGTGTATTTTGTATATATAACCCTAAAATTGGCAAACGCAGAAAACTTTGTTTACGTTGACTAAAATTTGTTTATACTACCAACTGTAGCATTTGATGTTCAATTAAATTTTAGGGACGGACAATTTCTTCGCGCTTACTAGATAGTTTTTCTGCGTCCATCCGACCTTTCTTCAGACACTCTTTCGATCCACTTCAGGATTTTCGAGTAAATTAATTTATCCGTCGTTGGAACTGCTGTATTGAGGCTTTTTAAATGACTGCCTTTGTGGAAAAGAATATGGAACGATCTGACAACGAAAATTTCCATTTTCTTCAGTTCAGAAATCATAGTGCGGAAAAGGAAAGAAAGAAAAGACAGTTAAATCTTGACTATCAAAAATTTAAGGAAGAAGAGGAAGAAAAATTTCGAAACAGATTTGCTGATAAAAAAAGACCATCTGACTATACCCAGATAAAAATGCAGGCTCGAATCGGGAACGAATCGGATACGGACGTACGAGCATCATACACGACACAGCCAGCTGAACACATCTCCAACCGAGACACTCCGGACCACGTAACTGGAGGTTTGGAAGTCTCTCAACCTGGAGGTATCGAAAAGCTTATCTTTGACAAGATCAATGGGCTTCAAAATTCAATCGAAGAACTTAAATCGTTTAAGCAAGACAGAGGCCATTTTCCAGCTAACGCATACAACAGATACGATATGTTGGACGTTGTACCCGGGCAACAACGTTATTTGATGGAAACTTCTGGCCAGAGGCATCCTCATTTGACGCAGATCAGCTACGATGGTTATAACGAACGGTTTGCGATACCGGTTCCCCAAACACAGTCGGTAAATTCTGTTGGTTTAGTTGACGAAGCGGAAAGGAAATTGCAAGAGTTGGAGGCATTGCTTTCTATGCTGAAAGGAGGCGAACGCTACCCAGGAGCGCCAAAAATGGCAGTCTATCCAGACACACGATCTCCTCAGGAGAGATCGCCTATTAAATTTACTGGAAAAAGTTGGTCCTTTTTAAAGCTGTTCACGGTTATATATTTTAGGCGACAGCGAACTCTTTAGGAATCCAATAGTTGGCGAGTCGACTGGAAATAATTTTGAAAGAGGAAAGAAACAGAGCAAACAAAACCTAAATGCATATGCTCTCGAACTACAAAAACAAATAGAAGATGGCAAGCGAAGAAAGGAAGAGCAACGTCAACTTGAGCTGGAAGCAGACCGCAAAAAGGAGAAGGAAATGTCATTATATGACCAGTTTGGACACAGGCTCACGAATCCACCATCAGAGGCATTGACAAAGACAGAAGAATCCATTCACCAAGATAGAGTCAAACCCGGGGTTTCTACTATGCCTGGAAATACTCCAACCTTTGCTCGTGGCGGTAATGGGGTCTTTGGCCAACCTCTCACGCAGTCTCAGAAGGAGGAGAATGACAAATACAGAAAAGAATTGGAGGAGCAAATAGCTGAAAGAAAGAGACGTGAAGAAGAGGAAAAACAGCGAAAAGAGGAAGAAGAAAAGCGAGACCTTGAAAGAATTGAAGTTGAAAGGAAGAAAATTGCCGAAGAGCTTGCGGCCGAAAAGCTTAAAAATAGCCAACAATGCAGAGTTTTTGAATCCGATCCGCAACCTCCTTCTCCCGAACCAGAACATGCACCAGAGAAGAACACTAAATGTTCCAGAAAAAATTGCACATGTCTCCAAACGCAGCCGACAAAAGAACGCGTAGATTCTCCTAGAAATATAAATATGGAATCAAAAGTGACACATAAGGATCCCTCTGACGTGTCCTTATTTTCTCCTAAAACAGAAAATGTACCAGAGAAGAAAACTCAAAGCCCCAGAAAACATAGTGTTTGTCTCCAAACGCAGCTGATACAGGAACGCGTAAATCCTCCTAGGAAAGTGCATATAAAATCAAAGGTGACACAGAAGAGTTCCTCTAATGAGTCTTTATTATTGGCTGCCGACTCACGTGCGATTATATCGCAAATCAAGCGACTTAAAGCTGAACTCGTTGCTGAAAAACGACGAATTGCAGCCTTAGAAATACTCCCCGAACCTGATGTTCAAGTTTTTGATCCTCGATCTGTGTTTGCGCCAATCAAAGCCCCTCTTTATGAAGGTTCAAGCAGGCCTATGAAGATATCCAGACCTAAATTTAACTCCAAGGGTATTGTCAGGCAGCCTGTGGTTTTTATAATGGACGGGTCGGAACTTCAACCTCTAAGACCTGTGCGACCGGTCTTTAAAGGATATTCTGAATCTAAGGATTCCCCACGACGGCTCTTAAATAGCCACCGTCTTGCACCAATTATCAGACGACGCTCAAATGAGTCATTGCAAATTGACAATAGTTCTTTCTTTGTACGATTACCGTATAGGCATCCTGAGAGGTATTTTAAAGCCGCTATGGTCAGATCACCTTCCCTAGGTTCATTAAATTTGGATGAACTGACATACCGAAACCATGAAAGACTGAAAAAGCTCGACGCTCTAAACTACAGTTTGGAAGTTAACGGAGATTCCGAAGAGGTCTTGCGTGAGTTTTTGTCTCAGGAGGAAGCAAGACAGTGTTCCCAGAGGAATGGGATAACCAAAGGTGCCGAATTGTAGTGCCCGACTTCTCCCTGTACAGTGTATGTAAACATTCCTATTTTGTCAGGTTCATATATTTCACATACAGCGACTTAGATTGTTGTGAAAAAAAAGTCCTAAAAAGCGATTCCCTGCATATACCCCGTCTGTTTAAAGTCACATTCACGGCTTCATAATTTACTCATCCGTTTGCTGTTTAAGTAATTAAAAATGACAGGATTGGGAATGCCCATACGCGACATTTTATCGTGACTTAGCTGTTTCATCGTTTAAAGTAATAAGGTGAATTAGGCGTTATTATCTATTCCGGAATTGC